TATGTGTGTATGTATATGTGTGTGTATATGTGTGTGTATGTGTGTATGTGTGTGCATGTGTATATGTGTGTGTATGTGTGTGTATGTGAGTGTATGCGTGTGTATGTGTGTGTATGTATGTATATGAGTGTATGTGTGTGTATGTGTATATGTGTGTATGTGTGTATGTGTGTGTATGTGTGTGTATGTGTGTGTATGTGTGTGCATGTGTATATGTGTGTGCATGTGTGTGTATGTGAGTGTATGCGTGTGTATGTGTGTATGTGTATATGTGTGTGTATGTGTGTGTACCTGCACATGTATGTGCATGTACACATGCATGTGTGTCCACACATGTGTACTCTGGCTACTACACACTATACTTCAGAATGTAACAACGCAGACAGAGGCAATGGGTAGAACATCGGAAGATCTTAGCTTGAATCATAGACGACAAAGATTTGGAATTCTCAACTGAGGAAGCTCGAATGGTTGAGAAACACCTAAAGAAGTGTTCAGCATCCCTAGTCATCAGGAAAATGCAAATGAAAACAACACTGAGATTCCACCTCACACCAGTCAGAATGGCTAAGATAAAAAACACAGATGACAGCACATGTTGGCGAGGATGTGGAGAAAGAGGAACACTCCTCCACTGTTGGTGGGATTGTAAACTGGTACAACCACTGTGGAAAGCAGTCTGGCTGTATCTCAGAAAATTAAACATAATGTTACCTGAGGACCCAGCTATACCACTCCTGGGCATATACCCAAAAGACGTTTCAACATACAACAGGGACACATGCTACACCACGTTCATAACAGTCTTATTTATAATAGCCAGAAGTTGGAAAGAACCCAGATGCCCTTCAACAGAAGAATGGATGCAGAAAATGTGGTACATTTATACAATGGAGTACTACTCAGCTATTAAAAACAATGAGTTCACGAAATTCTTAGGCAAATGGATGGAGCTGGAAAATATCATCTTGAGTGAGGTGACCCAATCTCAAAAGAACATACATGGTATGCACTCACTGAGAAGTGGGTGTTGGGATTTGGAATTTGATTTGGGGTGTCATGAGCCATGGATAAATGACCCGATTCTTAGGGCTTCTGACTTCTAATTTTTAAAATGAATGCACTGGGTGAGTTTGGTGACTCTTAAAGAAAATCTGAAACTGTAAGACAGAGGCAAACAGATAATCTGACTGGGACAGACAGACTGAGGGTGCTCCGGAATCCCATTCCTCTTTATTCAGCGGGCGACCCCTGTAATTTTTTAATGTCCTAGATGAGCACGGAGACCTGTTGAGCTGTAGTTCTCTGCGTTTGTGTTTGTTGAGTGGTGCAGCTGTCTATCCTTTCACCTCTCCACTGATAACACATATGCCCTTGCCCACGACTGCACAATCTGTGAGCAAGCCTGTCCTATGAGCACACACTCCGATCATGGCTCCTCGACTTCTTAACATCTTCTCCTTTGAGCGTGTCATTGCCTCAGAGTGAGATGCTTGCTCCTCTCCCAGAAATGGTCTCCTGAGTCCTGTTGGATGAAGAGCTGTCAAGCCAGAGCCCCTTTGCTTCAGCTCTGTTTACTGAAGGCCTTGGCCCTCCAGCCATTGCTGCTTAACCATTTTTTCCATACCTTTCCCAGAGCCTCCCATAACGTATTCCCAAGAGCTTGAAGCCTCCAGGGTGCTGAGACCCTTCTCTGCTCTTTTCTGTTCTGCAGTCAGGTTCGACTGGGACAAATCCCTCCTGAAAGTCTACTCTGGGTCTTCTGGTGAGTGGCTTCCTGTCTGCAGCAGCAGCTGGAACGACACGGACTCCAAGAGGACCTGCCAGCAGCTGGGCTTTGACAGGTGAACAAAGAGTCCATTCAGCGGGAGCTTCGCAGAATCTGTGTCAAAAATGTTAAAGAAAGGGGGCTGGAGAGATGGCTCCGCGGTTGAGAGCACTGACTGCTCTTCCGAAGGTCATGAGTTCGGATCCCAGCAACCAGATGGTGGTTCAAAACCACCCATAATGGGATCTGATGCCCTCTTAGGGTGTCTGAAGACAGCAACAGGGTACTTACATATAATAAATAAGTAAAAACCTTTGGGCCGGAGCGAGCGGGGGCTGGAGTGAGCGGGGACTGGAAGGAAAAAAAAGTTAAAGAAAGAAGGGAGGAAGGGAAGGAAGGAAGAAGGGAGAGAGGAAGAAATAGAGGGAAGGAAGGAAAAAGGGAAGAGAAGGAGTCCTGCAGGACTCTTGCTTATTCTACCAACTCAAGAAACCCCTGAGTCGTTCAAAAACCTGGGATCCCCTGAGTGTCCGGGAGCTATGTTCTCCCCTCCCCCAGGGCTCTTTCTGTGAAAGCACCCTCACGGCCATTACCACATTAAGCTGGCTCTGTGAGGAGTACAGGTGTTTGGACAGATCTTACATACATGTGAGCACTAGGAGCCCAGATGTGCAAAGCTCTCTGGTGGCCTTTAGCCATAGCAGTTGTGAAGTGACTTGCTTATTTAACTCACTGAATGATAAACGAGATAGAACCAGGGGTGAGGGGTGGGGGGGGCTGGCCAGGTCCTAGGAAGCTTTGGCTTTAAAAGGTTGACACCAAGAAGCCAGTATTGGTGAGTGAAGTAGGAAGTGAAGGAACCTTCCTACTTGAAGGTTTCTCCCACCTGAAGGCCAGGTAGACACCTCCACTCACTGTCTTGTCTGAGTTGTGTGTGTGGTTACATACATGTTCATGCATGTGGAGACCAGAGAGTCAACCTCATGTGTTTCTCAGGAGTCAGCCACCTTATTTTTTCAGAAAGAGTCTCTTATTAGCCTGAAGCCTGTAAGGTAAGCTAGTCTATCTGGCCATCCAGCCCCAGGGATCTGCCTGTCTCTACTTCACAGTGGTGCGATTATGAGCACGCCTCCATGCCTGCCTTTTTACATGAGTCCTCATGCTTTTGTGGCAAGTACCTTCCAAGCTGAGCTACAGCCTCAGCCCTTTATCTGAGTTCTTAAGCTGAGCAGGTTAGGGATGAAAGAATGAATGAATGAATGAATGAATGAATGTTGCCCTTAGAAGAAACACCTAGAAAGATAGGGTTGGAGCTAGGACTTAGAGCTAGTTCTCCGCTGCCACCTCAGTCCCTGGTGGGTAAAGGAGGGACTGACTGATCCAGACTGAATAAGGGAGTGGGAGTCTAGGGATGGGGTGATGGGTGGGGGTGGGGGTAGTAGTGCAGGGTGGGGGTTGAGGAGGCCTTTGTCTCAGAGCCACCAGGTGATCTGAGACCCCCTCGACATTCTCTTTGAATGGCATTTTTGCAAGGAAGATTCCTCCTCAGAGCTTCTAGGAGACCATGTGATACACAGGCATAAAAGAACAATATCCTCTAATGTAATTCGGGAAAGGCTTATCTCAGCAATCCCACACCGAGCGTATGAGTGGCCTCTGCTGGGACACCATGGAGAAAATTCCTTGGGCTTGCTTACAGGGCCTGCATATTGAGAGGCCCAGTTCACAGATGGATATAGAATGTTCTAGAAATGTGCACAAGTTCCAGGCAGAAAGTAGAACATAACAGAATCACTGGGGTCCTTGGGAGAATGTTCCTCCCAGACTGAATCTCTACGATTAAGACTAAGAACTTATTTAGCAAATGCCCAAAGGGATTCAGAGGGGTGCTCCTCTGAGAGTCACCATTGTATATACTGGGTCATCTTTGGGGGGACCTGGAGCACTCACGTTGGTGCTTAGTAGGTCTTGGCGTGGTGCTTATGCCACTGGACTGTGGGTCACAGTTTGGATAGTGTCTTAGTTGCTATTGCCACTGCTGTGATAAAACACTGTGACCAAAAACTCATTTGGGGAAGGACTTTCTTCTAGTTACATACTCAGGTCATGCTTTATCACTGAAGAAAATCAGAGCAGGAACCCAGAGGCCGGAACTGAAGGCAGAGACATAGAAGAACACTGCCCATCAGCAGGCTTTTAAAATACAACTTGGTACCACCTGCCTAGGGAATGGCGTCACTCATAGTGAGCCTGGCCCTCCCAGATCAATCATTAAGGAAGAAAATGCCCCACAGACTTGCCCATAGGCCAATCCTATGGGGGCGTTTTTCCTCAATGCAGAGTTCTTTCCAATTGGCTCTCGCTGGTGTCAAGCTGACATATAAAGCAGCCAGTCTAGATATAAAGGGCTCTCAAAGTCAATGAGGCATCAAAACTACCTGGGGCTGTTAAAACAGGCTGGGCGCCTCTCAGAGCTGTTTCTGTAAGTCTGAGGTGGAGCTAAGAATGTACCTTTCTTACCAGATACTGGTGACATGGCCAGATCAACACCGTAGTGGAGAGCTACTGGGCCAGTTGCAGGGCTGGCAGGGGCAGGAGCAGAATGTATGTTGAAGCTGGACTTTGAAAGCTATGTAGGAGTGGCCACTGCACAGTGCATTCTAGTCTGCCTTTGTCTGATGAGCTCTGTGGCTCTAATACCGCTGGGAGACTTGGGGTCTAACTGTCTGCAGGCTATTCATTCTTCCCTCTTCTCTGCAGTGCTTACCGAACGACTGAGGTGGCCCACAGGGACGTCACCAGCAGCTTCTTACTCGCTGAATACAACTCCACCATCCAGGAAAGCCTCTACAGGTGCAGTGGAACAACCCGACTGTCTGTATGGACAGACAGAGGACTGAGGGACCCGAGGAGGGTGCTCACAGTTGGGGAGTCACTCTCTCATGCTCTCCTGGGACCCAGACTCCCAGGCTCCCTTGCAATGCCAGGAGCACTGAGGATAGCTTGGGCTTAAAAGCTCTTGTCTCAGATCTGGTGCAGGGATCACCCCAAGGTTGGAGGTTCCTGCCTCCTAATCTCTAAAAGCAACTTAGAAACCTTGGAGATCCAGAGAGCTAAGTGTTTGGATTAAAAGGCTCCCCATGGTGGACTTTAGAGAGGAAAGAGGCATCATTGGGGACAGGAGCAGGGGACTGACAGGTACTAGTGGTGGGGGCCCAGGAGGTCCATCTGGGAAGCCTCAGCCCTTCCTGCCATCTTTACACTGCAGTCGCTCCCCCTGAAGGTGGGAGGTAGTCTTCCAGCCTTGCTTTCCTGTCCTTAGAATGAGAGAAGCAAACCTCCAGTTAAGAGATGATCCCTCGGCACCGCTTTGAGCTAGGCTGTCTGCATGCTACAGTGAGGCCGTACAAGAGGCTCATTAGAAAGAGCTGGGACCATGGAGGCTTGCTTGGCTTCCAAGAACAGGGAACTAGCGGGGGTGGGGTGGGGGTGGGGGGTGGTTCACCGTCTGAAAACGGGGAGGAGATGGGGATTATGATGAAGATAGTTTGTTCCATCCATCTTCCCAGAGAAAGCCAAGTAAGGAAGACTGTCCTACTGGGAAAGGGAAGGTCTGACTTGCCGCTATTGTTAAAGGTGGAAATGAGGCAGGGTCTGAGCAGGTACCAGTCAGGAAGAGGAGGCAACTGCTCATTTCCTTTCTCACCCTTTGTGCCCCATACTCCAGGTCGGAATGTCCTTCCCAGCGGTATGTCTCCCTCCAGTGTTCCCGTAAGTAAACTCTTCTTCTTGGAGTGTGGTCTATGCGGGTGGGATAAGGCACTGTCTAGGGAGCTCGATCCTTTACCTGCCATTCCCAGGGAGCCATATGAGTCCCCTAGACTTTTGGTAGGGGCTGAGAACTGAGGGAGGACAGCAGGAGTGGACTAGCTGACAGGTTTGGGTCAACATTCACTTGAGTGCTTGTCCATGAAGGGTACCTCATCTGCATCTGTAAGACAAGGCTGGAGTTACTGACTCTGAGAGCCCTGCATGGCAATTTCCATTACTGGTCACTGTTCCTTGCCTAAGATGGGAACCCAGGCAGGTGACACTTGACCTTGGAGTTGACCCCTAAGCCATAGCTTCAAGTGATCCCACAAGGTCTATGTTCTTGGTGGTGAAGCCAGGGTGCAGGCTGACCCACTGTTGTGGCTGCAGTGCCCACTGCTCAGATCGTGTGCCGCCCTCTCTCCTCTGCAAGCAGGAAAGCCCCATATCTGAGCACTCTCGGCAGGCTGCCCCTCCCTGTCCCAGGTTTGACTCATTCCAGACTTGCTCCCTGTGCAACCCAGCTATGCGTCATAGGAAATATATTTATTTCTCCTTGATTTTGAAATAAGAGACTGCCATGCTAGTCCTCACCAGTTCAGGGTTGTGACAGCATCTTTTACTTTTCTGAGCCCTTGATGACAGTCCTGGGACTCACTCTCTTAACCAAGCCAGACTCAAGGCCGAAACATTGACCATGAAGTGAGCATTTGCCAGATTAATGAAAGAACGAATGAAAGAACGAATGAATGAATGGGAACAAGGCAGAAGCTACCTCAGGTCAGACTTCCTACTAGATAACTCGAGAAGGCCAAGATCACCTTGTACTACTTCTGCTTGGACAGGGAATAGGTGGGCCACATTAGACTCTTTGGACAAAGGGTGACCTTCATTCAGTTGCCTGCCCGGAGCTCGAGAAGAGCAGAAGAGGCTCTAAAAGAAGCAAATGTCATATTCTGTCTTCTCCATTTCCCCCCAGACTGTGGTCTGAGAGCTATGACCGGGCGGATCGTGGGAGGGGCTCTGACCTCAGAGAGCAAGTGGCCCTGGCAAGTTAGCCTACACTTCGGCACCACCCACATCTGCGGGGGCACACTCATCGATGCCCAGTGGGTGCTCACCGCTGCCCACTGTTTCTTTGTGTAAGTGCCTGAGAGACCCTTGACAAGATGCTGTTGGGGACTTGGAGCCACTAGGAAGGGCTTACACAAACTCTAGTCTACAACTAAGCTGAGTTCCCCAGGGTCAGGCAACTCAGCTACTGCTCAAAAGACTAAGTGTGAAAGAGGGTTTGGTTCTGAGCTTGGGACAAGGATGAAAAACGAGGTCCCGAGGAAAAGGGAGACAGGCTGGAAGACCTCTGGATCCTTTCCCTGGCGAGCAGATAAAAGGAAGCTCCAGGCTCATTACCACCTCCCTCAACCAGCTGCAGAGCTACCAGCAGAAGAGTCTGACAATCGGGGATGCTGTCTCAAGACTTGAGGGACAGGGACAGCAGGAGGGTGGTACAGGTGGCTCCTGAGAGGTCCTAGCAGCCTCTGGGGACCCATAGCATTGACTTCGTAGACACTGGCTTCCTGAGTAAAGAAACTTCATTATCTTGTCTTGTCTAAATCGCTGATGGCATCTGTCTTCCTGCCATGCCTCCATCCTTAGTGGGATGCAGATGAGGTAGTAGTGGGGTGAATCCCACACAGAGAAATTGCTTATTCTGTTGCTTTTTCACACTCTAAGGTGCAGGCCAGTTCAGAACAACTTTGAAGAGGTTGAGGGATGGTTTTGGGTTTCATAAGATAGAGAAGTTCTCCAGAGGTCATTTTATCCATCCCCCTGTCTCCAGGCTAGTGCTCCTGCTTTGCCCCTACCCCTGTGGGTAGCAGATGCAGCCAGTGAATTCTGCCAGGTATACAACTGGACAGCACTCATACCCTGTGGCTCTTGTAGGACCCGGGAGAAGATTCTGGAGGGGTGGAAGGTATACGCAGGCACCAGCAACTTGCACCAGCTGCCTGAGGCTGCCTCAATCTCCCAGATCATCATTAACAGCAACTACACGGATGAACAGGATGACTATGACATCGCTCTCATAAGGCTGTCCAAGCCCTTGACCCTGTCAGGTGAGCGAGTGTGTGTCCTTGCTTCCCGGAAACCCTTGACTTGGCAGCCGCTGTTTACCCAGCTTAGGGACTCAAGCATTTTAGAGACCATTACATAGAATGTAGTTATTTTACAGGTAGGAAAACTGGGGTCTGGAGGAGATGGCTCAGTGGGAAAGTTCTGGCTGAACAAGAATGAGGATTGAGTACAGATTCCAGAGCCCCAGTGAAAAGCAGGGTATGCTAACAGGTGCCTGTAATCTCAGTACTGGGGAGCAGAGACTAGAGAGTGCCAGGGGTTTGGTGGCCAGCCAAAGCTTCTAGTTCCGTGTCTCAAAAACACAAAGTATAGAAGTGATCGGGGAAAGACATCTTGACATGAATTTTTGACCTGTGCATGTGTGTGCATGTCTGTATGTGAGTACTCATGTGCATGCGCATGCGCACAAACACACACACACACACACACACACACACACACACACACAAGAGAATACATAAGGGAAGAAAGGAAAAAATAACTAGGGAAACTTAGGCCCAAGATTTGAAATATGTGTTTCCCAAATGGCACATCTCATATTCCAAATTGGCCACGGGGCTAGCATTTGTATACTGATCTTAATAACTATAAGTATATTGAATCAACTCACTGTTAGTAACTATGCACTTGAGAGCTGCCAGCCAGTGCCCTGGTAGTGACAAAACACCTAGTAAAAGCACTTTAAGGTCAGAAGGCTTTACTTTGGTTCTTAGCCCATCATGGTGGAGGAGCAGTGGCAGGCAATTTCATGGCAGTGGGACTGTGTAGCTACTTTCTCATATCCAAGTGGGGATGGGCTATAAACCTTTAGGTCCTCCCCCTTAAACCTGCTTCCTCCAGTGAAGACCACCTCCTAAGGCTCCCACAACTTCCCAAAGCAATACCAGCAAGCTGGGACCAAGAGTGCAAACACACAGGTTTGTATGGGACTTTTGACATTTAAGTCACAACACAGTAGGGTATATTTGATATGTTTGCGTGTGTGCGTTCTGCCCAACTAGCCCAGAAGAGCAGAGCCTATGAGCTCCATTTAAGATATGGAGAAGTAGAGTTTTAGAGGGACTCGTTAACTGTGGCGTTGAGTGACAGGCTCCCACATGGTTGATTGGTCTGATTCTGAAGCAAGGTTCTTCCCCCTGGCTCTGGGCTAGCTAATGGCATACATTGCAGTGAAGAACATGAGTTGAGCACAGGCTTGACTGTCCAACATGGGACAGGATGTCCAAAGGAGGCTACATGACAGAAAGATCACAGCGGTGCTCAGATCACTGGGAACACCGAACGTCAAAGAAGGCTTCATTCATTCAGTCACTCATTTGATTACCTCTTCCTGTGTGTCTACTACACAGCCAATGGCAAATTGAACAAAATGGGAAGTGAACACCAAGAGCTCCAGAAGGGGCCAACGATGTCGTGTTAGGGGATCAGAAGGAGCTGTTAAGGCAGTCAGAGGTGGTAGGCTGACGGGCAGTGCAGAGGATAGCTAAGGTGAAGTCTAAAAGAACTGAGGGGCCTGGGCAGATGACCCAGTGCTTAAGAGCAAACACTGCTCTATCTGAGGACCCAGGTCTCCAGCACCAAGTCTAGCAGTGCACACTACCTTTCACTCCAGCTCCGTGGGAACTGGCACCCTCTTTTGACCCCCACAGGCACCCCTACACAGACACACACATACATGTAATTAAAATTTTAAATCTTTAAAGAGACTCTTAAAGACAGGTTAAAGACACTTAGAAGAGGGCCTGGAGACTAGGGGAAGGGCTGTCTACCATAAGAAGTCTTGTGGAAGGGAAGCAGGTACTCATTTGGAGGACCAGGCTTCCCAGAATCCTTGGAAAACTCTGATTGGTCCAGACATCCTGGAGCCTTGAGCCTGTGAATGGATGTTTCCTCACATGTTCATTAGGGAAGTAGTGTTTGCCACTCATCGGAACAGCTAGTTCATCAGAGAGCCCTGGGCAGAGAGCTCTGTGGTGAAGATGTCTCTGAACTGCTTCTCTATAGCCACACCCAGGCCCAACTTCAGAGCCTAGAGCTAAGGGTTGGAGGGGGGCACATGGGGAGACTCAACCAACCATTTCCCCTGCAACTCACACAAACAAACCACGAACCTGAGCAGGCTTTCTCAACCTTATACAACGAACTCTCAAACCATTTGGCTAAAACTTCTGAGTTTTACCCAGTTTCTCTCCTGGTGTAGGTCTGTCCCGGGGCATGAGGAAGATCATTCATCTAAGAACCACGGTTTGGATTTATGTAGCCCTAGGGTCAGGCCATAAACTCAGATTTTTGGTTTACAAATCAGGAAAGGATTTTCTTGAACTACAGTATTTTCTGTGAAAACTCAATAGTTTAAACTCCTCTCCAGACAAGAGGAATCTGGAATCTGCAGCTACAAGATGCTTAAACACACACACACACACACACACACACACACACACACACACCACACACACACACACACCACACACACACCACACACACAATAACCTGTTCTAGGATAATTCCTCCGTTGAGATTCTCTTCCCAAGGGATGCCAGGTTACGGCAAGTTGACATTTGAAACTAACCATCGCTTCCAGAATTCTTCCTTCCTTGCTTGGTCCCCCTCCATCCTCAGACGTTCACTGATCCTGAGTCTGGGTCAGGCCGAGAAATGTGCAGAATGCAGTAATGAACGGAACAGATGACTGAGAATGCTGCACAAGTCTATCAGCGAATGTTCTCCTTCTGTAATTCGGAGTCGAGTGGCCAGTGGCACAGACCAACTAGAGGGGTCCTGTGCAAAGGGAGCTTATGAAGCAATACACAATAACACTTGATCAATAAGGCCAACATGGGAGCTCGCTAGCAGCGGTTTGTGGTCTCAGTCTTTAGGTATGTGCTCTTCCTGCCTGGAGGGTTTACTCACGTCAGATGAACGTTTTGACGGAGAGCCTCCAGTGGTGGCCAGCCAACAGGTGCCCTCCTGGATCAGGCAGCATACAACATAGCCCTAACATCTGAAATTTATCTTTCTTTGTCCATGCTTTGAGGGAAAGACCTGGAAGAGTCTTAGCCAAGAGAGCTGCTCTTAATGGAGACACTCTACCTTGTGTCAGCTTGGTTCCAACAACCTCTAAAAGCTGTACCTCTGTGAACACAATAGCACCGGAAGGAGAATGGCTTCATGGGTGCTGACAGCCCACTGATGGCTGAAAGCTTCAAATGAAAGGACAGACTTGCATATCTGGTCATTCCAAAGCCTTGGCAGATTCAGAGCTGCTGAGAGAGCAAGGATGCAGTTGCTCCGCCCCGTCCCTCCCTCTACCCTAAACCCCATCCTGGCTTCTTCTCTGACAACCTCAATGTCTTGCTACAGCTCACATCCACCCTGCCTGCCTCCCTATGCATGGTCAGACCTTCAGCCTCAATGAGACCTGCTGGATCACGGGCTTCGGCAAAACCAAAGAAACAGATGGTGAGAGGTGGAGATGCAAGACGTGTGTGTGTGTGCGTGTGCGTATGCAGATGAAGGCTTATCTGAGTGAGAGTTTAGGTGTACAGACTCATAGGTAATATAGGAACATGTTTATATCAGCACAGTCCACATGATAACACCTAGGCAAGGCTGCCAGGAAACCCTTCAGCTGATTAGGTAGGTTTACTTCTTATGACAGTGAAAGGAAACACGCATTTCATTGAGAGGCTATTAGAAAAACTGGAGAGATGGCTCAGTGGTTAAGAGCACTTGCTACACTTCCAGAAGATCTAGGCTTAGTTCTCAGCACCCACAGAGTGGCTCACTACTCCCTGTAACTCCAGTTCCAGAGGATCTGAAGCTCTCTCTTGGCCTCCAAGGGCACCGGGTACATAGACAGAGACAAAAAGTTCTTGTATGTAAAATGAAATAAATGAATATTATTAAAAGAGGCTATTAGAAAGGGCTTACCATGGGCTGAGGGTAGCTTGGGGAGGGGCCAAGAGTGTGGTGCTTTTCTCTAGGTTGGATACTATTGAGAAGCAGTGGCTGGAAAATAATAATAATAATAACAACAATAATAATAATCTCATCTAGAAGGAAGGCAGAATCTAAGGCTATAACTGTAGAGGGGCAGTGGGCCCAGTACTGACTGCAAGAGCGCATGTTTGTTTGTGGTTTAAGTAAGGACTTCCTCGTATACTGGGTCCTTAACCCAGAGCCTGTTGCTTATGTCCAGGTGTTTGTTTATATTTTATTTGGGGACAAGGTCTCAGTCGGTTCCCCCGGCTGATGTTAAACTCATTTTACAGTCTAGGCTTGCTTTGAACTGATCCTTCTGCCTTAGCCTCCAGGGCAGCTGAGATTACAGGCCTGCATCACTAGGCCTGGCTGGGACCTTGTTTTCACCTGTCCTCAGGCAAGATGTCCTAAGACCTCAGCCTAAGCACTTTGTCTAGGGTCAGCTATAAATGACTATGGGTGTCCCTCAGAGGGACACTGAGGCCTGGCTAGCCTGGTCATTACAGCAGTCACTATTCTTTGGCTTCCTATGGTGGAAAGCTGACTGGTCTGGATACAGCCTTCTGACCTTGCCTGTTTCACCGATTAGGGACCAGAGGCAGGCAAATATTTTCTTCAGTCCTGTGTGTCTATACATGTAAATGGGAGGTGAAAGCATGTCCTAAAATCTTTAGGGACCTGAAAACAAACGGCATACAGAGATGACGCTTTGAATGTAGATGAGTGTGCAAAGTCGATGTGTTAGTTACTCTGCGCACTGCTGTCACAAAAATACCTGACGGAATAGCTTAAGGAAGGAAGAAAGGCTTACTAGCTCACAGGACACGGTCCCTGGTGGCAGGATGTCACTGCAGCAGCGGCGTGGGTGGCTCATCATACAATACTGCAGTCAGGAAGCAGAGTAAGAGAATCACTACTATCCAGCTCCGTCTCCTTTTTTGTTCAGTCTAGGACTTAGCCCATGGAGAGGCACTGCCCATATTAAGGATGGGTCTTCCTACCTCAGTTTACCTAACCAAGAAAATCCCACACAGGCATTTCCTGAGGCTTCTTTCCCAGGTGATTCTAGGTCCTGTCAAGTTGGCAATTCATACAAGCCATAGGCTTGTGGGTTCCCACAGGAGCAAGTCTTGGTGTTACGGTCATTGAGTTGTATGTCTGGTGTGAGGGTGTGTGTCCCACCATGTTTGGGTTTGGACACAGATGTGGTGTCCTCTACTCCCAGGAGGCTAGGGTCTGGGTCCTGAAGGTGCAGTTGATGTGTGTGAAACTTTCCACAGTCTCATTGGCTTCCTATTCTTTCTCCCCATGTTTACCTCACTGAAGAGAAGACATCTCCCTTCCTCCGAGAGGTTCAGGTCAACCTCATTGACTTCAAGAAATGCAATGACTACTCAGTCTATGACAGTTACCTTACCCCAAGGATGATGTGTGCAGGGGATCTTCGAGGAGGGAGGGACTCCTGCCAGGTGAGGACCTTGTGGGTGGGGCTCAGGTCTCATGACCCTGGAGGTGGGAGTAGGTGGAGTCATAGGATTGATATGAGGATCGGTGAACTACCCTTTCCTGATCAACTCACTCTTTGGCTCTTCCTTGCAGGGAGACAGTGGAGGACCTCTCGTCTGTGAGCAGAACAATCGCTGGTACCTGGCAGGTGTCACCAGCTGGGGCACAGGCTGTGGCCAGAAAAACAAGCCTGGTGTGTACACCAAAGTGACAGAAGTACTTCCCTGGATTTATAGAAAGATGGAGGTGAGCATTCAGCTCAGGGATGGAGCCTGGAGGAGGGAGAAGGGTATCCAGACAGACCATCCGAGTCATGTGCATTTGAGGATGTCCAAGGCAAGACTAGATGTCAGGCATGGGACCAGTCCAAGATGGCAGTTTTCCCTCCTTCTCCATTGAAACAGAGCCCGCAGCATTGCCAAGGGTGAACCTAGGCATGATGTCAGCACCAATGATGTCAGCACCAATATCGTTCTCCTCTCTCAGTGATACCCAAAGGTATCCAAATTGACCACTAGAGTGTGCTAGGAGGTTACCTTCCATGGCATGAAGTTGCCCATTAGGAGCTCAGCCCAGCCTAACTCTTCCCCATTCTCCTGTCTGTAACTGTAAAGCCCAGTGCTAAGACCAACACTCCCTCTCTCTGTAGGCATGATGATATGGGACTCAGAGGGAACTGTATCAGACGCCCCTGCCATAAGCCTCAGGGTACACTCCCTCTCTCTCAGAGAATGTGCCAGCAACATTCAGCTGGACTGGCCCTAGGCTCTCTAGTCCTTGAGCTTCTGTGTTTCATGCTTACTCTGTTTCCTGGTCTCTTCCTCAGAGTGAGGTACGCTTCCGGAAATCTTAACCATGCCCTTCTCACTTTGGTGATTGCTATGAAGATTCTGGCTAAAGGGACAGGCCATTTGCAGCATCTGGACCAGTGACCACCGGGCACCCTTGTTCCTTCCACCTCTGCTGTCTGCTGTCTCTGTGAGAGTGTGTATGTGGTGTGTGTGTGTGTGTGTGTGTGTGTGTGTGTGTGTGTGTGTTGCTATTCTTATAAGTTCTTCAGAAAACAGGAAAACTCGACTCTTCTCAGAATCCCAGGTTGGAAATCTGAAGTTAAGAGTTTGGGCACCAGGTGTGTTCCTAAGAGTCCATAAGTGGGGGTGGAGCCAAAAATGAGCCCAGGAAGGGCTTGGAACATGACAACAGCAGTTGTCACTCTCCTGACTCTGACTTCAAGACCAGCCCAGATTCATCAGACACCCAGCAGCCAGTGACACCACTGCTGTGCTGGGGCAGCAGCTGGTTTTGTCAGGGCCTGTCTTGTCAGTGCCTGGGCCATCTGTCCCTGGTGGAAAGCCGCTGGACGTCTTGGTCACTTGCAGCTGCTGTGGATTCCGGAGCTGAGCTCTGTCGTAGCTGTCCATCTCTGGGTGATGACTGTGACTCAGGCTTGCTGTACTTTTGGTCACAAGCTGTTGGGATGGATTTTATTTTTATATTTAAAATATAAAAGTAGATGCAACTTTAGGGTGTCTCCAAAAATCCTAGGGACCTTTGGGAGGTTTTTTTTTTTTTTTTTTTTTTTTTACATGAATCATTTCATGAACTCCAAGGGACCCGTGGGAGTTGTACCACTGTAGCATCCTATAATATATTACTGACTCCATAAAATCAGGTGAAGTGCCTTAATGAAATCCTCAGGACAGACACCCCCAAGTCGGTGTAGAGACTAGGGACCTTTGAAATACTCAGGGAAGAAACCCTTGTTTGGGTTGACAAACAAATCCAGTGCATGCTGATCTAGCCTCCAAAGACTATAGCCAGCCAGAAGAAATAAAGATGTGTGTGCTGCCCTGGATCGTCTTCCAGGACCCCGGGGAAGTCTACACATACTGCATCGTTTACACACAAGGGTTGACTATGACGTTTGCTTCTGTCGTCCTTCATCCTTCAGCTTTGTACTGACTCAAAAGGCCATAAAGAGAAAGTAAGAACTGTCCTCAGAACCCCTCAACAGCCCTTCTCCTGGTCTTCCCTGGACCTTTTATCTTGGTCACCTGTTGTTCCTCAGCTCCGCTCTCTTCAACCTTCCTTGGGCCTACCAGACCTCTTGTGATACTGAGTCTCTGACACAAGTTCAAGGAGATCAGACTGGTTCAGAACAGCTCAGGCAAGCTGGATGTAGCTGGAGTGGTTGGTCAGCATCAGACAGGGCTGGACCATTAGGGAATCTCTTCAAGGCTGGGAAGGAGGTGGCCAGCATCCGTGTCTGTAGAAGATCCCAGCAACGAGCTTTCATAATAAAAACGTGTGACATGAAAAAGTTGTTGGGTGCTTCATTGATGATGTAGGCAGAAAAATCAAGATGGCTTGCACTCTGCCCAGGTGCCCAGGCATCTCGGACATGCTTCTTGTTGACTTTCTCATCTGTGGCTTCTGCTCACCCATTCTCTCGTCTACTCATTAACTCCTTCCCCAATGATGCCCAGAGCACAGTGGTATCAGGTACTCATGCTAAGTCCACGTGATCCACGAGCAGCAAGCACCCTGTACTCTGTGTGATGGAAGGGATGGTTAAGTGTGGATACCGTGCTTGGAACGTGGGCATAGGGGCCACCAGCATCATCCACAGAGGTCAGGAAAGGCTTGGCGGAGGAGATGAGGTTTGAAGTGTGTTTTAAAGCGTAAGTGACCACTCCTAAAGTAGATGTGGCACGGGGCGGGCACTCTAGGGTCGGTCTCTCCCCCTGTCCTCTCCCTCTGTTTTTGTTATCTCAGCAACAAGGGTACTTTTTGTTTGTTTGTTTGTTTGTTTTTGTTTTTCGAGACAGGGTTTCTCTGTGTAGCCCTGGCTGTCCTGGAACTCACTCTGTAGACCAGGCTGGCCTCGAACTCAGAAATTCGCGTGCCTCTGCCTCCCAAGTGCTGGGATTAAAGGCGTGCGCCACCATCGCCCGGCTAACAAGGGTACTTATAAGCCCTAGTGATTACCCACTTTTTTACAAGCTGTGTTGGTGGCCTTTGGCCTCTTCTGCAAGATCTACCCTCCACTCTGCTCCCTAACTTTTGCTGTTGTTTTTTTTGTTTGTTTTTCAACTCAGGATTTCTCCTTGTAGCCCTGGCTGTCCTGGAACTAGCTCTGTAAACCAGACTGGCCTTTAACTCAGTGATCCATCTGTCACTGCTGTTTGCCACCACTGCCCAGATGTTCCCTCGGTTTTTAAACATCTACTACACTACCTTTAACAGTTATGACTCCACTAATGGCTGGCCAACACCACTACCACACATGTGGATGTCTGTTGCCACAGCCAACGTTTTCCAGGTCTGCATGTGCCCGGCCTATGATATGTATCTATTTCATTTGTATCTCTCATCGATGGCCAGGTGATCCTTCCTCTGACTCTTTTCTTGCTTCATCTGCACAAGAAGGCATAAGGATGGTGGGGGCTGTGGCTACTGGATTCCTTTTTTACAGTAACATGACTCCAATCCTGCCTGGAATGTCCAAGGTTTAACTCAATCAGAGTTATGTTTCTCATCCATTAACAGTCCCTCGGGGCGCTCCATCAGATGGAGGCTTTCTCCCACGTGAGCTTTCAAGGACCTGTGTCTTTCCATTGTGTGACTGTCATAGCTATATTGTCTGCTTTTGCTCAAGAGGAAACCATGTAGAAGACACACCCATTCCTTAAATGCCTGGCTCAGAGGTGGTACATGAGCATAGCACAGTGTCACTGAGAGGCTGTGGGGCCAGGCATTACAGCCTTTGCCCATAGTACATACTCATTTTAGAGGGCAGCTAGGTATCTCCGTCCACCTGAAGAAGTTCACTATTACCCTAGACGCCAGAACTGGGGCACTACTGTACATCTTTCTCCACATAACCAAATCTTTGCAGAGTATGTCAGACATTGAATTATAAGCTGATAGGCAAGTAGGGAAAGGCATGAAGATCATACAGGAAAAAAAATCAAGCTCTACAAAGGAAATGGAAAATCTATTTCTTCAGCCCAGGATACCCATAAAGGCTAAGATCTTGAAAGAGGTGATAGAACTTCCTGAACTAGCCCAGAATCCCCAGGGAGCTGTGCAGTGGTGTTAAGTGGGAAAATATAGGAATGCTGTTCCAGGTTCCAAACTCTCAAACATCTCCAGATAGCAATCAGTCCCCATTGGCTTGGCCTTTTCTGTATCCATAGATTTTCTGTGGAGCTTCTCTGGGATACAAATGAGAGCCCCAGGAACTGTTGGGAACAGGGCTGGTGAACTCTGTGGAGAGGAGCCACTTGCAGCTTGGCTGGTGATCTGGTTGCCTCTGGGGTTTGATTAGCTTCCCGGGGGCCATTGTTTCTCATAATTGCACTCCTTTGTTCTGATGCAATTGGGAGAACAGGAGAAGATACTCACAGAATGCTCCTGTCAATGACAATGAGGAGGACTGGGACAGCAATTCAGTATCAGCCTGTGTGCGCAGAGCACCTGACATCCATTATTCCTGTAAACCTTTAATCCCAGAAAGCACGGGGAAACTATCCCAGCTTTGTAAACAAGAAGGAAGTGCACCCCCAAAACCACAGGCTCTCAAGGGCCAGAGCTGTGCTTTGAATCTGGGGATACTGAAGCTTTTCCCCTACACTTTGTAGCCTGCCTATTCCCAAACCCAAGTGAAGCCTCTCCAACCTCACACCTCAGTAGGGTATGGCTCTGTGTATCTTTCCAGGATAGGAGGAGTGGAACAACGCCCCAGGGACATCTGGGCACAACCCTTGAACACGACCAGAAGCTTAGTCTTGGCAATTTCCAGAAACTTGGAGAAGGGCATCCGGAGTCAGAAGACGCCCCGTCCTCACCCCAAATGGATGGTTTGCAGGAAGCCCTGTCACACAAGCTGTCATTCATACATCTCTTTGTCTCCTTGATCTGGGTCAGTGGCTCTGAAAGGCACTTGCCATTCATTCTCTGTTTCCTTTGCACTGGTCCTCATCTACTGTCATTTGGAAAAACTGTGGCTCAGCCCAGGAAGTCAACAACATCCTGGTATTGCAGCACATCCGCCCAGAAACCTGGGAGGGCCATGTACTAGATGGTCAGTCCTGGACCACCCAGAAACAAAGCTTTGTTTTTAAAAAGGCCTCCCAGAAAGATGAAGGATCAAGGCCTGGCCTGATCTTTGACCAGCACCAGCTCATCTCCTCCGAAGAGGAAATGGAAGGTAGACATCACAAGATGCTTTTCCTACTCAACCCAGAGTCTCTGAGAGGCAGCCACACCTGTGCTTTCCTAGTTACACTGTAGTTGTAGAGGTTCGACCCAGAATACCTGGAGATGCAAATTCCAGCTTCACCACTTACTCAACTATGTGACCCCTCTGTTTCCTCATATGCAAAGTGTGTGCACCTCTTCTGCATGCTGTGGAACTAAATGGGATGGTAGACATAAGCAAGCGACACAAAGAGTCTAGTTCCTTTGTCACCGTTTCTGCTAGCATTCTGTCTAAACTCCACCCCATGGTTACCTGGCAACAGCCAGGCACGCTCCTCCCCACAGTTAACCTGGCAATAGCCAAGTAGGCCTGACCCACTATGAAAGGGGCTGCTTGCCCTCTCCCCCTTCACCACATGGCTGTGGACGGCTTCTACTTCTCTACTCTCTCTTTCTCTGTCTCTACTACCCTCTTGACTCCTCTCCCCATGCCCTTAATGAACTCTTCTATACTATACCATTGTGTGGCTGGTCCCTCAGGGGGAAGAGATGTCTCCACATGAGCCCGCCAGAGACACCCCCTTCCCCCATACCTCACCACACCCCCATAGCAGCAGGAAACAGCCAACTCTCCTAAGACTGGACAAACACCCCCATACCCATTTTTCTGGGTTCCCTAGAGACACGTCACCCCCAATGCCAGCAGG